CTGGAAGGTGTTTACAAAAAAACACGTGATTATCACACACCCTTGATTTGCCTCGCCTCAACTTTCTCCCATATGCCAGGTTTAGTTCGACGTGAGCGCATTGGTGAAGTTAAATAAAACTGAAAGAAACAATTAGGGACGGACAGAACAGCAGACCATTCGACTTTCTACGCACGTGACTGTGAACGACGGGAAACACGAAACGTTTATAAACGTATAGTATAACATGATAATACAACTCACTCTCATGAAGCTGCAGGTTGTGTAGATTTTTATTCCTATAGCCGCATAATCTACATTTTGAAACATCGAGAAATTAAAAAAAATAAATAAATAAAACGGGCAAGACGACACAAATTGTTATTTTCTTTCTTCGTGTCTCGGGGTATATGATGGTTCCTAACCATTTTGCCTGCGTACTTTCGCTTCTTTGTTAATGTTTTTTTTTTTTTTATTATTTTTATAGAGTGTGCAGGTTACAAAGAAAATATTGATCTAAGTGGGTCATTCTCCCGGTGTCGCCTGCATATCTTGTGTTTCCCTTTTTTTATTGCCAATATATATATATATAAATAAAGATTCGCAGACGTAATTTGGGTAGGTAAAGTTCCGTGCCGCTCTACTGACTGTAAGATAACAAAACCTTCCATTAGCTCCAGTCTAAAGCAAGCTGAGGAAAAGCAGAACAAATGTTTCGGCTCGTCTGTCTGTTCCGAAATCTTTCGACTCTGTCGGGCCTGATATTCATTCATTTGTTTATTTTCCTTGCTCATGAACGGCGAGAAGCCTAAGGAATGATGCACATAGTCAAAAGGAACACACACAAGAAATCTACGGCACTTGCAACAAATAATATCTATTACGGTGGAACAGGAAATAGGTAACAGTCAAATATCAGCCATTGAACGCCTAAACACATGAACACTTGAGCTGAAAATGTCGATGCTGGTTGTATTGAACGCGGTATAAAACTGTTGGATGCGGTTCATGTGACTGGAAAGGTTGGTTATTTAAACTGAGAAAGTGGGATTTACCCTCAAAAGCACTCGCGGTACATATATATTAATAGGTGATGAGAGGGTTGAACAATGAATGCGACCATGAACGCGTTTGTACAGAAACACTAGATCGCGCTCAAGTGTTGTCGAGCTTAGTGTAGTACAACTACATCGTCGTAAAAGCCTGTTATACTCATAATAAACGCTGCGGACATGTATCGATCATTAAAAAAATACGAAAAAAACGTTTCTGCACGTTTTTGATTTCTGCCTGGATTGCACTACCAATACCATTGCAAACACAAGAACTAAATTCAAGCTTGCTACGTACTTATGAAAAATACAAAATGAATATACAAGCCGACGACGGGAATTCACGCGTTACTCTGGAAATCACATCTAGCGTCCGTTAAGCAGCATTAGTGATGTTGAAAACATATGTATTGAATGACAATGACGAATCAATATATACTCCTAAATTTCTTGTGCATTCAACCCTACGTAGAGGTAGGTTATCAAGATAGTAACAAAAACTTATGATTTACAATTTCTTATAAAAGGATATAACTAGCGCTTTTTAGGATATAGTGTTAACAAATATCGGCAACACCAATGGTGCACAGCATTACCATCATCGACTAGCATTTCACAGTCATAAATGGATGACACCTGCCTAAACAATTTGATATCGTCAGCATATTGCAAAATATCTGAATAACGGACACAAGAGCCCATATCATTTATAAAAACATTGAATAAACTTGGCCCTAGTATGGGCCCCTGTGGTACACCAGGAAAAGACACATAAGGTCTAGAATGATGTCATAATATTCGAACAAAGTTTTTTCTTTCCATCAGATAGTTTGAAAGAAAAAAAAATTGCAAAGCTGGTTATTTACTCCATAAGTCCCCATTTTACGTACAAAAAAAAAAAAAGAATGATTCACCAAGTCAAACGACATATAAAGGTATACGGCATCCACTTGCCCACGGTGGTCGGCAATGGGCGAAACGAAGTCTAAAAATGACACTAGATTAGTCTCTACAGACCTACCAGAAAAGAAACCATGTTGTGAAATGCAAAGTTGACATTTAAGAAATTGTGACAAATGTTCAAACTAGACGATTTCTAAAACTTTCGTAAAAGCACCGAGCAAGGATACCGGTCTGCAATTCTTTACGTCATCGGTGTTGCCACCTTTGTGAACAGGCACAATGACAGATTTTTTCCAAAACTCGGGAAAAGTAAAACTTGATGGAGACAACATGGAAATATGCGTTAATAGTGGCGTAAAAATTGAAGAACAACCTTTAACAATAAAGCTTGGAATGCCATCAAAAGCCATTGATATCTTGGGTTTTAGTCTCTTTATCGCAATCTCGATTTTAGCGTTTTGAAAAGACGTAATCGACAGGTTTATCATTATACTTGTCCCTATCATCTGGCGTGCATGACGCGGCTTGGTTTGAAGAGTACACAGATTCGAAATGATCAGCGAATGCGTTTGACACACATGACGGATGTGTGCCGACTGTTGCTAACCCGAGTGTTCGGCAACCATGCTCCAGTTGCAGGGATGGCTCATAATGGCCGATTTACACGACGGACTGATCCGCGGACGGATTGAGCACGTGACGACACGTCCGCGGTTCGTCCGTCTCCCGAAACACATCCACGCGAAGGAGACGACGACAGCGAGGGCGGATCGAGCCTGTGCGCGACCCCGAAGTGCCTCGAAACCCCAACATCGTACAATGGCGTCGTTGTCTAAGAGGAATATCGACGTTTGGTACCGCGATACGATACGATGCAATATGATATATACATACATACATACATACATACATACATACATACATGCACACATACATACATACATACGTACATACGTACGTACGTACGTACATACACACACACATACATACATGCATGCATACACATACATACATACATTATCTATCTATCTATTTATCTAGTTATATGATAGATAGATAGATAGATAGATAGATAGATAGACAGACAGACAGACAGACAGACAGACAGACAGATAGATAAATAGATAGATATATAGATAGATAGATAGATAGATAGATAGATAGATAGATAGATAGATAGATAGATAGATAGATAGATAGATAGATAGATAGATAGACCGATAGATAGATAGATAGAGAGATAGACAGATAGTCCGATAGATAGATAGATAGATAGACAGATAGTCCGATAGATAGATAAATAGATAGATAGATGGATAGATAGACAGATAGATAGATAGATAGATAGATAGATAGATAGATAGATAGACAGATAGATAGATAGATAGATAGATAGATAGATGGATAGATAGACAGATAGATAGATAGATAGATAGATAGATAGATAGACAGATAGATAGATAGATAGATAGATAGATAGATAGATAGATAGATAGATAGATAGATAGATAGATAGATAGATAGATAGATAGATAGATAGATAGATAGACAGATAGATAGATAGACAGATAGATAGATAGATAGATAGATAGATAGATAGATAGATAGATAGATAGATAGATAGATAGATAGATAGATAGATAGATAGATAGATAGATAGATCGATCGATCGATCGATCGATCGATCGATCTATTTATCTATCTATAGATCTATCTAGAGGCGTTTAGAGTTACCTTCACGCACACCGCACTCGTGGACATTTCAGTACACCACAGCCACAACTGAGGTCTTCCTGTGTGAAAGGCTTTTGGGCGTGCAAAAACATCGAGGCGTGCTAGACGAGTTTTGCAGAAGCTTCTTGACTCAGACCCGGAGGAGTTCCGGAACCCGTTTCGCATCAGCTGGCCAAAGTTTTTCTAGCTTTTTTCACGCGTGGAACTAAGAATCGTGCGACAAAATGAAGCAGCAAGCACACAAACCACAACGATGCGCAATCTTTGATTTAATCGTCCAAATAAAAGAACCCAAAATCTTTGTACCGTTGCCGGACAAAACGGTTTTCAAGTCCATCACACGCCAAGAATCCGCAAGTGAAAAGGCGCTCGGCCATTTCACCCCGCGCGTCCGCGGACAAGGCGCGGATCGCAGGAATTGGTGACGTGCCGGTCACGTGGTACACGGTCTGCGGACGAAAATCGCGATTCGGTCCGTCGCGTGAATCGCCATAACGAGTAACCTCTTGCGCACCAACTGGTTGCTCCTGATTTCTGAGTGATACGGGGATTTGAAATGTCATCGTCCCTCTATGGTCGCCCACTAAAGTGCATCAACTTGGACTGATCACATGAGGTGTGACATGGCCTTGCACCGAAAAATCGAACAAAGGGACAAATAAAAAAAATAGCTAAAGGCAAAGTTACACGCGCATACCCAATTTATTATTACGTAAATACCCTCCACCTTGAGGACTTCTTATACAGTCATTATATCAAAAGCCTACCGTCGAGAATAACTGTGAAATAGTGGGATATATGCGGACATGATACGCACGAAAACGGGGTCACTCTTGTATTTCACTCAAAAATGAAGTATCACTGTACAAGGAAGAGGGTAATGTTTACTCATCGTGCAAACTCAAAACGCTTCTGCGCAAAACAAAACCTTTGTTTTTGGTACTTACAGTTCCTTCAAACCTGGCGTTTTTTGCCGCTAAAGACTGGGGCCCTCGATCGTCACAATCTTGACAATGTTTTGCTGGAGACTCTTTTAGATAAGGCTGTCTCTATTTAAATTTCAGGATGCAGCTGGGCCCGTTTCTATCAACAATCGCTTGGCCAGTGATGAAACAGAGAGCATGCACAATGGCGCCTTTTGGCCCACCGGATTGTTCGCATATTACATGATTATCCAATGACTTTTCAGCATGGGAAAAAAATACTCTCACCGACGAATAAAAAAAAATAACGATAAAATGCCTCTTCTACAAAACGAAAACAAAAATTACGCATTCTGTCGAAGAATAGTGAGCACAGGATAAGTGTTCCGCACAAACCACGTAAACTTACTTTTATGTGTTTATTTAGTGTCATCTTTTTTTAATTTTATTTCCTTTTCCTTCCTTGCCTCCCTTTCCCAATCCGTCCCCCCCCCCTACCTTTCATGGTGCTTCTCTTCACCTCTCCATCTGCTTCCCTTCCCTTCCTTCCCCAACCCCCTCACTCCCTCCCCTTTCCTCCTCTCACCCTCCTATAGTGCTTCCCCCACTAAAATTAACGGGGAAGCTGGATTAGTGTACAAGTCACATGACGTCGATTTCCCCGCTAAATTTAGCGGGGAGATTGTCTCACGCTCGTTCTGACGCTCGATTATGACATCCTTCATGAGGGTCTTTCATGACGATTTTCTCATAAAAACGACCCACAAAACATGTGCTATGTTAATAGGCGATATGAATCGATAAATAGAGAGATAAATAAAGTACAAAAAGGAGGAAAACATGAGATAGGATTGCATAGCCCGGGGGCCGGTAGGTCAAGTGGGTTACGGCGTTAAACCCGGCTGCGTTTATTTTCAGGTATGCAGACGACAGCCCTTGCCAACGTACCGCCCCAGAAACTCCAAAAGGTCGGGATGGAGGAGCTGGTGATTGTTGACGGAGAGGACGAAGTTTAGGTGCATGTAGTCCGCGTCGTCCACGTAGTGCTTCTTTTTAAGCCTGGACCCTAATTCCTGAACGAGTTCTTCCACGTCTTCTCTGGAGACCAGCCTGTCTCCGAGGCTCCAGAAGACTCCCACGTCCGTCTTGAGCGAGTCCACGCCATACAATGGTGGTTCGAGCTGCGTAACGGCGAGATACACACGTGTGACAAGAAAAGAAAAAAACAACTGCTGCTGCCTGGAATTGTGCTATCTTAATCACAGTTGCAACTGCAACTGTAGCGATGCGGATGCTTTGCCGTCGCGCGCCAGGCCACTCCAAGGGTCCGTACCCGATGCAACGCACTGTTCCCGTTGACTGTGATTAAGATAATGCGCAAAAGCAAAAGTATGAAAGCATACGAGCTGAGTCTACAAAGGGATCCCGAGCGCTGTTGGGGCGTAGAGCAAAATTTGCGTAAATAAGCCAATGAACAGGGTGCAAATAAACTTTTCACACAGGTGTTTTTAGGTGGTAAATTTATCATATTCAACATAACATGAGTATGTAAAAGAAAAAAAAAATTGCAAGTCCAAATAATCTCGGTATTTCTATAGTATGTCCAGGAAGGAAAACTGAAACAAACCTATTGGTTGTCTCCGCTGCTCACAAATACCTAGGACCACGCACGCTCGGATTTGCTGAATCTGCTTTCGTGTGCTCATCTCAGAGACACTTTGAAGCTTTTGTTCCACGTGGTGCCATGTTTGTGTAGCAGCGACAACCAGATGGTTTGCTTCTGTTTACATCACCAGTTCGAGATTTTTAATTTTATGATTATTTCGAGTCGTACGGATCAAAACAATCTCTAGAACGTGATGCGAAATTCAATGTTTCTCGAACGTAAAACTATATTGTTTGCGGTTCGAGTGACCCTTACAGGCAAGCAGGTTCCCGTTCCTCACCTGACCGTACACTTTTCGGTTTTGCTTTGGTCCATAGTCAAACAACTGAGCTTTCTTCGATGAAATAAACTGAAAACCGAGTAAAAAACACATTCAATCAAAGGCGTGAAACTGTAACATTGTTTCCAGGCGTACAAGATGCAAGAAGGAAGTATCTGGTATTGCACCAAAAAGTCACCTGCCAGAAATGGAGCAAGTTCTTCACCGACGTTCCAGCTGGAACACTGCAGACGTAGACCGGGTACCGAGTCTGTTTTAAAAAAAGAACATGTTCCAAACGTGTACTTTTCATTATTGACATAGCTATTCTCTTAAATTGAAGTTTATAAGAAGTACTGATACAGAAGAAGAGACTATCGATCGCCGACGGGTTTTAAGAAGATAAGGCCTTATCATTATCGAGAAAGCACACTCAATGTCATTAACGCCGTCATAGTTGTCCCGTCCCGTTAAGCGGTTCTTAATTTGGCAAAAAAAAAAAAAACCTGAAAAAATATATGTTCAAATTTAACTTTTTAACATATCTCCTGCATTATTCCAGTTCCAGGCTTCCTTTCCTTTCAACACTTCTCTCTCTCTCTCTCTCTTGGGAATTAAATGGCGAACTGTTACAGTCATAGGTTAATTGGTTGATGCCCTAATGAACTAGTAAATATTGCCACCTGCTTCTTATTTTTCTCCTCCAACATTAGTGTTCAAAGGGTGATAATGTTACACCGCATATTCAGCATTATAATAATAAGCGAACGAGGTCTTTTCTAAAAAAAAATATTTCAAACAGTGTTTTAGAAAGTGAGTAATTTGTACAATCTTTTTCAATAAAAATACACTTTAAAGAAACACTGACAACCCCAAATTCTTTTTTTTTGCCAGGCGATTTAATATATTGTCAGAAGACTACCCAATCAATACTTTGCTACAGCGTCACGTATTTTTTTTTTATAAAGTCAAAAAACGCAACTCCTCGAAACCGAAACCGAAACTGGACAAGAGAGAGTTGGCGGAAGTCATGTGGCCGTGCTGCTTTTTTCCCCCCTAACAAGGCCTTTGCAGCTTTTTAAAAGCCACAAAAAAAATGGGTATCATATTTCTTTTCTGTTTTTAATATTGTGTCTGTGCCTTCGATGACCTACGACTTTGATTATATTTGGTGGTTGTGTCTAAACCTTAGAAAACGGCTCGTGACCATGAAAAAGAGAGTGAGCACGACTCAAACCGGCCAGTTCTCGATCGGCGGTTTTCGGGTGGAAAGAAACCGAATTTCGAGTCTCAAATTCTGTTCTTGCAAATGGGCTCTCATATGTTATGTACAAATAAAAACCTTGGCGAGCATAAATACCCTCTCAGTGTTCCTCTAAGACCAACATTTAAAAAAGCTATCGCCCACCTCTTGGATATAATACTGAGTGCGCGGTGTAAAATTACCTCCTTCGCAACGTTAATATTGGAGGCAAAAAAATGAGAAGCGCATGGAAATATTCAATCGTTAAGTATCTAATTGCCTAATTAACCCATGTCTTTAATAACTCACCCTAAAATCCCATAGAAATCAAAGGAAAAGCTACATTCACTCTAAAAAAAAAAGCCCGTGCATCTACTTTCCCGCACAACACTCGGAGAGTCAATCACCGCAACTTACGGGGGCAGCTCAGCGAATGACAATGCCGAAATGCATGTTTAGACCAAAAAACGCCCTCTGAGTTGTGACCTTAAACAATGTAAAACGTCACGCTTGCATTGCTTAATATCAAAACTCAGACTGCGTTTTACTTATTTTTTTTTGTCTAAACATATGTTTTGGCATCGTCATTTGGTGAGCTGCCTTCGTAAGTTGCGGTGATTGGTTCTCCGAGATAGCGACCCTGCAACCGCCCAGAGCGGCAGTGCAACCGGCAGCTCGCGCTGTTATATTTCGAAGCATGCTCTGCAACGCGCACCAGGAGCAGTACACCGTGGCGGTGGTAGCAAGCGGTAACGCTCTTCTAAAGTCCCAATTTCTGGGCCATCGAAACCAAGTGCTGCGCCAGTTTCGAGTCATCTCCTGCTGACTCCGCATTTTACCGCCACGTGTTGCCCTCAAGATTAAAGACTGCAGCGCCACGAACGACACCAACAAGCCTTAAAACATACAGAGACGGCCGATTTTCCATCAGTTCGGCAGCGGTGCAGGACTAACACACGTCTAACAACAACTACCTCCGTTTGCAGGTGAGAATTCGACGAAAGTTTGTTACAAAGTTTTTTTACAAAACCTTTTTTGTCTGATTGCACTGCTGCCGGACATACCAAATCTTGTGAAGTGTGTTTTGACTGTTTCAACCGTTCGGTTTGTGTTGCCGCATCTCAAGATTACTAAAGATGCAAAAGATTTCACCAAAGCTCTTGAAGACTTACGACGAGAAAAAAGAACCGAACTAAAGGAAAGCGTAAATTACTGCAGCAATTCATGCGATGACCTGAAAAAAGTCGCTGACGACATTAAGGAACTACGGAGGAAAGTACAAACACTGACAAAAAAAAAAAAATTCAGAAACTGAGAACCGCAAACTAACTAGCAGGTTGGAAGAAATAGAATAATACCAAAAAGCAAATAACCTTGAAATCAAAGGAGCGCCAGAAGTAGGCGATCCTGTCATGATTGTAAAACAGATTGCAGAGATTCTAGGCGAGCCTGTAACCGACGCGGACATTGACATTTGTCACAGGGTGCCCACACAAAAACCCACAGAAAAAAAAAAAAAAAAAAACATTATCGTACGTCTTGTACAACGAAGCAAGAGAAACTCTGTTGCACAAATGTAAAAAGAAGCGCATGACGACTTCAGATCTCGGTGCTGCTGGTGCGGCATCCCCCGTGTATGTGAATGAGCACCCGACTCGACAAAGCAAAGAAAATCTGGGAGCAGCGATCGCTCGAAAACGTGTCGTAGGATGGAAATTTGTTTGGTCATCAGGAGGATGAATATACGCACGAAAAAATGAAACCTCACCTATTATCAGAATTGCTGACCTCGACGACGTAGAAAAAATGACGGGGTAATCTCGGTTATTCCCTAGATCTTATTTCAACTACAATTTATATTTTTAATGGATGAAACATATCCGATAGAATGCAGATATTTTGACGACTCATCATTTAATCTCACGTTCCGCAACATTGAGAGTAGTTCTTCTGCAATCCACGTTAACACGAGGAGTATCAATAACGAACGTGACGACCTGGAAATTTTTTTCGAATATTTGAGCATGCGCTCTGACGCACTACTTTTTTCTGAGACCTGGATTCCCGAAAATGCTGAACCACCTTACTTTAATGGTTATAAATGTGCCAGTTTAGGCAGAGAAAATAAAAGAGGAGGGGGTGTTGCCATCTATTCAAAACAAATCTTTTTTGGTATGTTGCTGAAAATTTCTCTGTGATCACCGCTGATGTTGAGTGCCTTGTTTTAGATGCCAAAACTGTTATTATTGCTGTTATTTATAGACCCCCCCCAGTAATAAGGAAGATTTTTTTAATTTTTTGGAAGACCTACTATCTTTTCTTGGATCGACCTCCAAACTATTTTTAATTATGGGTGATACAAACATCGACCTACTAAAATGTAATAGTTACGTAATAGAGATGAATAATCTCTTATCTGCATGGGGATGTAATAACGCTGTGGCACTGCCCACCCGAGTGACTTTAGAAACTCCTAGTTCAATAGATATATGCATAACTAAGCTCAAGGCTAGGGAAGCCACATCTGGCATATTTACACAAGATATAAGCCACCACATGCCAGTTTTCTGTCTGACATCTTTCTATCGTGGCAAAAATACACCGAAACGCGATACTTACTCTTACCGACGCATAAATGAAGAATCACTGGAAAATTGTTTTGTCCTGCTCGAGCAAACAAACTGGAAGAACGCCCTTTTGGAACGTGACCCCATCCTTGCGTATGCACTTTTTTCTAACAAACTTAAGCTTTGTTATGACGTCGCTTTTCCGCTTATTGACGTAAATAATCGTCAAAACCATGTACGAAAACCTTGGATTACGAATGACTTATACAGGCGTATTAACATAAAAGATAGGATGTACGATAATTTATTAAATATAGGCACCAAAATCCTCTCATCGAATTTTAATAAAACAAGAAATAAACTGAACTCCGATCTTAAAAAGGCCAAATCTGAATATTATCAAAATATATTTTCAAGGGTATAAAATGACCCAAGAAAGATATGGGAAACTGTAAACGAAATTACTGATAGGAAAAAACGTGTGCAGGGAACGCAAAGTGTCGCTATCGACGGCAGGAACGTGAGTAAACAGCAAATGGCGAATATAATGCATGAATATGCATTTTGTTGACGTTGGTTCACCACCAGAACACGAAGACACTTGGCAATGCTGTATCACAGACGCAATGACTTCTTTATCAAACACGATATGGCTATTACTAACTACGCAATATGAAGTAGAAGGGCTTATAAGTAAAATTAAAAATAATGCCGCAGCTGGCGTAGACGACTTCAATCCAAGGCCTGTCAAACATGTCTCCCAACAAATATCTTGATATCTTGTCACATGTAATCAATCTTACATCTAGAAACTGGAATATTTCCTAACGAACTAAAAATTGCAAGAGTTACTCCAATCTATAAGGGTGGCGGGGAACACCTTCTACAGAATTATAAACCAACCTCGGTTTTGCCAATTTTTGTAAAAATATTTGAAGGGGTTATAAATTCTAGATTAGACAATTTTTTTCCAGGCACAATGTATTAAACAAATGTCAATATGGCTTTCAAAGAAAAATCTAAATCAGCAGAGCAGGCACTTGTAGAAGTAAAGAATAAAATTATAAACAATATTGAAAATAGAATATACACCTTAGGCTTATTCCTAGATTTTAGAAAGGTCTTCGATACGATCCAACATGACATATTACTAATTAAGCTTCAAAGGTACGGCATACGTGGGGTTGCTTTGACTTTAATAAAAGACTACCTCCAAAATCGTATGCAGTATGTTTATATTAACAACAATTATTCTAATTCACTCAAAATAAAGTACGGTGTTCCAAAAGGGTCTATTTTGGGCCCGCTCTTATTTCTTTTTTAAGTGAATTATATCACAAATATTTTGGGATCCCCTGAGCTGGTCATGTACGCAGACGACACTAACGCGTTTTTTGCTTCAACCTCTAAAGCGGACTTAGAATCTATGACAAATAATTATCTAGACAATATATCAGTGTGGCTTCAAAATAATAAATTACAACTAAACGTAAATATATATATATATATATATATATATATATATATATAATTTTCACTCCCGTTAATAGGTGTGACAACACTAAGGTGACAATATATTTCGAAAATGAAATTATAGAGGAGGTTACAGAACAAAAATTTCTTGGTGTGGTGTTCAATCAAGAGTTAAGTTGGAAAACGCACATAAATAAGCTGAGCTCTGAGCTATCCCGAGCCATCGGATGTATTTATAAAATAAGAAATCTCATACCTTTGTGGCTAAAAATATATATATACTACGCTTTATTTTACTCTAAACTGTGTTATTGCATTTTAGTCTGGGGCACAACATCAGCAACCAATTATAATAGGTTTATCATCTTACAAAAAAAATTCTAAGACTATTTGAAAATTATAAAGGTAAGCCTCAAGATCTCCCAACTGAACCGCTATTCAACAAATATGGCCTACTTAAAGTAGGCCATATAAATAGGCCACCGGACCCAGTCAAGCTAGCTTCTGTTAGCTTTTTGTCCGGTGTCCTCGGCATAATGTTGCTGAAATAAAGTTCAAAGTTCAAAGAATCAAATTTATTATTTTAAATTGTTACAGATAATACACACAAAAAAACTCTTCGCAATTCCGCCAGAAAACACAACGTATCACACACTTAGACATAGAATCAGACGACCTCCAAAAATACGTACCAATTACGGAAAACAAACGACATGCTTCAAAGTCGCCAAAGTCTTGATTAATACGGAAGATCTAATAGATTTTAACTGCAATATACTCCAATTCAAAAAAAGACTTAAGACACTTCTGGTGGGCAGTGACATTGTGTTCTGATATGTGTGTACTGTGTACTTATTAAATCATGTCCATATTTCACTTTTAAATTGTTAAAACATGTTTCTGGCTAATTTGTTTTTATCCTTCTTTGCTGAAAATAACTATCGTGGGATAATTGATCGATCCTGTTTTTTATTGCTTCTGAGTTGTATAGAATTTTATAGGTTCTTTTCCCTAATTTTCGTGTTCAAAATTCTATGCACCCCGCACTGCTGTGTTAGAACTGTAAAGGGGATAGAGACCTCGTCAGGCATCACGCCTTTAGTCTCTGCCCACCTCCCGGTCAATCCGGAAAGAAAGAATAATAAAGAAAGTATTGTGCGGGAAAGTAGACGTACGGGCTTCTTTTCTTTTTTTTTTTTTTTTTTAGAGTGGTTCAGTATGTTTTTTTTTTTTTTATGTTCATAAACTAAAACCCTGTCTGAAGCAATTGAGGGTGACTGCCGTGGGACTGCAGTCTTACCCCTTGCTCCAAGGTTATATGGGTAGAAACTGAGAGAGAGAGAGAGAAGGAAATGAGAGCGCGAGGAGACGCCAGGCCATCGAGCTCTGACTCGTACGATTATTGGGCAGACGCGAATTCTACCTGCCTCGATCTCTACCATAGATTCTCTATTCTCACAAAACCTGGCGTTTCGACGACGGAGCCATAGACTGCCCGGTCGCAGATTTGGAGTGCGAGGATCTGGTAGCACAGAGCATCAGAGAGCCATTTCTCGGGGAACCTGGACGTCAGCGCACAGCTTTTGCAGCGGCGAGGACCCGAAACACACTTGTTCGCTCGGGAGAAGCGTGTTTCGGCGTCTCGCCGCAGCGGGGCGCCAGTCACGGGGCTCTCCTCTCATCCATTGTCTGCCGCTCCACCTTTTCCATTTCGGGGGCTGCTTCTCGTGGTGATCTGCCAGGCTTTGCCAGTATATAGGAGGCTTGGTCTCCATCAACCAATCATTCCAACCAGAGCTTAGTCATCTCACGTCCCCAGGCGCTGTCGTCTCCTGCTCTCCCTCTGTGTCCACCCGTATTACGTGTCAACGACTGCGTTCACGTTTCCGTCTCGGCGTTGGTGGTACTGACCGTGTTGACGTACTTGCTGCCCAGATTGGCGGCGGCGTCTTCCTCGGCCCCACACAGTGTCCTGGCGGGCAGGGAGCACACGACGCGGGACAGGTATGCCGACAAGACCCCGCCCGAGCCCAGCCTCTCCAGATGGGCCGACCGGGCAGCTTTCTGTCGGGACGGAGAACACACGTTCGAGAAGGGCAGGAGACAAGGCCGGAGGTATTAGCCCCGAGAAGTTCGCGTGGCGCCCCCTTACGGCGAACCGGGGTGACTTCACGGCGAGGAGAAAATTTTTCCCCGACTCGCTCCGCTCGCCCTGTGGAGGGTGTGACGACGCTAGCCGTCGGCGCGCTCGTTTCTATATAATTTTTTTTGGGCGTGTTTTCCGTAGGAAGTGTAAATTTTTATATGAGCCTTTATTTAGGTATGGCCTGTAGCTACAGGCGAAACTTCAACTAACATTTTAAGCATGGTTGACAGGGCAGGCAACGCGTGAATCGCAGCTGGTATATGAAAATAAAGAAATATGACCACAATTGCAGGAGCATCATTATAGATTTACATCTCGCACAATAAATGCTGTTGATGGTATGAATAAATTGGCAGGTTATGTATACTATTTTTCTTTTGTCTCTGTTTTTAAACAAGATCGCCGAAGCAGAAAAGCTGCATGCTCCTCGAGCAACATGCTAAATACACTCTGGGCTACGGGGAGAGAATCACAAGTAAGACAGCCCAAGTGCAGGAGCAAAGTAAAAAAAAACAAGGAACATTTATTATATATATTGCTCGCATTCAACCTTTGCTGGATTCGGATAGTATTTCAAAGGACTACACGGGTGATATTTGTGGACTTGTTTATATCAACCCTCAAGTAATGTATAACAAACGTAAGCGAAGCTGTCTAGGTCGTTATTAGTCCCTTAAGCCCTAAAATTTAGATTTTACTTAAATCGAAGTGTCCTGAAGCTAAAATACCAGAAGCTTTTCTCACGCAGACTGTCGCCCTTCACAGGTTCCACATTTTCTGCTACTAGTGTTGCATCTACCGGTGGACAGACGTTCGAATGCTTGCTTTTACTCCTGTTTTGCTCTGTTGTCAAAGAGTCCAGCTGTAGGGAGTTTGAAGGCTGAGGAAGCTTTTGGGGACCTGTAGCAGTCTCTTTTAATTGGAAATGACAATTCAGACCAAACCGTGTATTTTTTAATACCCAAGGCTGGAATAAAGAATGTCAGGAAAAAGTATAAATATTCCAAATTACAGCACTATTGCTGTGCATATTTTGGGCAGTTGAATACATATCATACAGGCACCTGGGGGCAATTCGGCCATTTTTGCTGCTACCATACAAACTAATTTTCAGTAATTGTGCATCTTCTAAGAAATATGCCTGCATACGTGTATAAACTATATAATTAATTATTAAGAAGCTACATTTATGTAAAACAGCCCTGTTCCACGAGCACTTCAAAGATCATCAGACGCAGGGCCTTTAAAACATCTGCGAACCAGCGCATGCAGAGTGGAAGCGCAGAGCCGGGGTCGCGAGCTAATTTGCCGACCACTCAAAGGCCCATGATATAAATGCCACTTCAAATGCCTTGAAAGCGGGATGTAATATCGTCCTAAATCATGAACAGGCAAGGAACAGAATTCCAGCGTCTGAAACACTTGCGCCACCGCTTCACCGACCCCTCGCAAGATTGCTTAGTGTCGTGTGGACGGGCGGGAAGGTTCATCGGCGGAATTGCCTCGATCCTCCGATAGCTTTCGGGATTTGTAACCCAATTTTAAAAGTAAAAGGGACGAGCAGGCTTATAAAATGTACGGAAGCACGTCAATATCGGCCTAACTCAACGTATTGTACACCGGGTAAACGAAGTCCAGCTCCTCGAAGAGCTTGCGGCACACAACGCCAAACCAGGAAACCGGTGCTGGGAAGCGAGCCGTTGCGAGATCGCGGAGCGGACTCCTCCCCCTGACGTCACGGTACACCTCACCCAATCAGGGCGCGGCGACCGCAGCGACGCTTGTGTTCGCTCTCGGGGCGCCTTTGTCGCGAAGGTGCGAGCACGAGCACGGCAAGGCGCCTACGGTCATTCGCTGGGATCCTTCTATTGTTCCCCCGTGATTGCAATCACGGGGGAACAATAGAAGGATCTCAGTGTTCGGTAGGAAAGTGAACTCTCAGACTTTTTTTAAGAGTGCAACATGCAGACGGTGGACCAGCGGATGTCTAAGCCCGATGGCCATCAGAGTTCCCCGCCGATCCAGGTGCCCCAGGGCTAGAGAAGCCATGCGTGGCTTAGATAAACACGTTTTCTCAACTCCCGGAGTGGAGCCGTATAGACCTTTTCCACAAGGGCGCCGCCATCTTGAATTGTCGTCACTTCCAGTATGGGCGACGAAAAAAAAGTAAAACGTTTCAACCTGTAACTAGTAAAAAAATAGAGGCGAGCCAAAACGAGAATGTGTGACGGTTAGGCTTATATCCTAAATGTCTTCTATTGGCGTGGCAACGGCAAAGTTACGTTTTCGCCCATACTGGAAGTGACGTCAATTCAAGATGGCGGCGCCCTTGTGGAAAAGGTCTATACCCGCCCGTTCGTTCACACACGTGAGCATCCCCGCACCTTCCTTGGGCATGCCTCTCTCGGAGCCTCTCTACTAAACGCAATAAACTGAGAATTTCAACTAAACAACAACAAACCTCGCAATGCTTCCCGGGAACATTTTAGATGACAGTCAGAAAATATCACTAAGCAGTAAATGAAACTTTTGGATGCGTACATGGCTCTACAAATATTTTTTTACGGAATTTTATAGGTTGCATTAACAATAATTATCAATGTCTGCATTTCTTGACAAAATATTCTAATGTTCCCGATGACAGCAATTGCCTATACTGTAAAATATTAGCTGTGCAAAAAAACTGAAAAATCTTGGCAGCTCTAACGCACGCCACAAATTATCTGTTTCAGTCTGTTTCTCTGTTTTCGTAATTATTGTTTAAAAAAATATTATTTTCGGTTTTTGCCCTATCAGTAAAATGACTGAATTTATTTTGCCCAGCCTTATAGAAAAACAGTTTCTGTTCTTAAAAATAACAAAACTTTTGTAAAAAAGAGGAAAGTTCAAGGCCCCGCCACCGGCCGCCGGTGCCTTGACCTTTCTTTTCCGCCATCTTTGCATTTCAACTCGCAAAAGCTGAGGCCTCCTAGTCTTGGAGGTGTTGCTCCTGGAGGTGTTGCTCCTGGAGGTGTTGCTCTTGGAGACCTACTGATAAAACTGCGGGGTGGAGAGTAGGGTGCTGCGAGTGTGTGCTGTCCTACTCGGGTGTGTTTGACCCTCAAAGTGCAAAACCCAAACTTCGACGCTGCGCCGATGGTGCGCTTGAGGTTCCATCACAGCCGCTTTCGTTGGCTCAGCATGAGCCACGCAAGGAAGCTCGCCGCTCGCAGCATGAGCTGAGGAGGAACAAGCTGCTTGCGCGCGTCCGTAGAGCATGATTGCAGCGTCGCGCTCCCTCCTAACTTACGCAGTATTTTTTTACGCATTTTTTAATATTTATTACTTTTCAGGAGTTATGCACTTGGCCCTTCTTGAAAACACCTGCGTGGTTCTGATAACTTACGTCACTCAAGCTCCACAGCTTGGTCTTCCGTGCACGAACGAACTGCTTCAATTTCTATTTCAGGCTTTTGACACCAGAGGTGTTCATTTAATGGACGCGCTGAACGAGATCCTTGCTGCCTCCAAAATGTTGTTTGTCAATAGGGACTTTTACCGTGTTCGGCGTACCGCACTACCGGAGCCTTTGAAGCATGCTTTTAAGCGCGCGCCCGGGGGATACCGTGACCACGGGGCGCGCGCTTAAAAGCATGCTTCAGCGACTCCGGTAGCGCGGTACGCGGAACACGGCAACTGCTAGCTAAAAGTCCCCAATGATAAACTTACTGAACGTTGTTTAAATGTTTTATGAATGCAGGAGCTGGTGGACCTGCGTTTTGGTGAATGCAGGCGCTGGAAGCGGATATATAAAAGTCTGCCGAGCAATTGACTTCGCTCAGGCGTCAGCAGCCGTCCTGGGTCCCCTCTTGTTCTTCTGTGTCGAATGTCGCACAGTTCTTGCTATAATTTTCAAAAAAAAAAAAAAAAATCCCAACGCGTATTAAAAAAGAAAAAAAAAAAAAAGAAACGGCCCAAGTTAGGAGAGAGCATGACACTGCGGTCATGCTCCTGCTCAGAGGCCAGATTCATAAAAAACCTCTTACCTACGACAACTTAGCTACGAAGTTTGTAAAGTTACGATCATCGTAAGATGAGGCGAGAACGGTATTCACAAACGCGTTCTTAAGTGAGAGGAGGAAAGTTACGACCTCTTACGGAGAAACGTTGACTTCCGGTGCTGTTGCTATGGCAACGGCGTCTTCGGCAAAACGAACAACCAATTAGAGAGCTAGGCATAGTTCGGAGCACGTGGATTTTTAACAACAAACAGGCTAACCACTCGTTCATAGACAGCTCCGTGTATGTCCTGTCCTGTCTGTGTGTAATTGTGTAGCGTTCAAGCTGATTCTCATAAACACGGGCGACCTTTCCACCACCGCTTGTCTGGGGTTCGTGTCCGTGCAGTGGTATATCGACGCTAACAGGATTTAAACGCTTCATTGACTGCTACAAACTCGATCGCTACGAAGTCAACACAACCGTCATCGTTGGTAAAAGCCCCGTGCCAGTCGTTTGCAAAGCGACGTGAAGGAAACAAACTGCCGCGGCGTTTCTCGCGGGCTCGGAAATGCAGGAGTGAGCCGACGTTAAAAAAGATACGTTTGAACTACGAGAGTGTCAGCAAGAGTCACGCAAATACCTGTTCACACTCGGAGCGGACGCGTGCGTTTGATCGAAGTGCTGGATTCAGACTGCGTTTCGGTAAGCGCTTCGGGACCGATCTTCTACGATTGCAACTCGATACTGACGTGACACTCGGCAAAGAAAGGTTGGACCGGCATCGCGTAGCTCCCACAAACTGATACCGTTCGACAGTTAAAAATGGCATACTAATAACAAAGTGTACATACCGTGTTGCGAAGGTAATCCATACGGCGTTTATTTGAGCTCTATATCACACAAAACAAGGAGATAGAATCGAGGAGTCCCTTTTCGACTACAGCGTTCGTCACCGCTGCCTCGGAAAACAAGGTGATCGAGATGATAAGGGGAATCGGTTGACTTCTGAAATTTAGTTCCGCTATCAAACTATTCATACGGGGAGGGTCCACAAGGGTCGCGCGGGCATATTCCATTCAGCAAGCCAGCCGGTCGTGGGCAGACGGTCTTGGCCAAGGACCGTCTGAGCAATGCTGCGCCGGAACGGGTCGGAGTGCCTGCTAGGCCTATATATTCTGCCGAGCTCGCTTGGTCGGTGGGATCGTCGCCTTTGTTGCCTTTTCCGGGTGTCTGGATCCAGCGTTCATGTTCGTCGTGGTCGGTTTCAAGTACTTCTTCATTTTTTTCTTGCTGCTTGAAGTCGGGACGCGCAAGAAGAGCAGGTAGAAAAATAAATGTCCGTTGGGTCGTCGCGACCGAGCAACTGAGCGACGTTGTCGGCCATGTTAATTTGATCGTAGAAAGTGCGTAAGACAGCTTCGGAGCTGTCGTAGGATTTTGTCGTAACCTGCGCAAAAGTTACGACAATTTCGTTTCGAGAATACGGATTTTCTCTTAAATTTGTCGTACGCATTTTTTTCGTCGTAAGTTCGCTTTGAGAATCTGGCCTCAGTTCCTGCTGCGAGCGGCGAGCTTCCTCGCGTGGCTCGTGCCGAGCCAAGGAAAGTGGCTGTGATGGAACTCCCAGAGCAGCACCGGAACCGAAGGGGCAATCTCGAAGCTTGGGTTGTGCTATTTGAGGGCAAGACACATCGGAGTAGGGCGCACACCCTCGCAGTGTCCTGATCTCCACCCCGCAGTTTTATTAGTTTCCAGAGGCCTCCAGGTGGTAAAGCATCTGTGGACGGCCACGCGCTCCGCTGTTTGCATTCCATTCGAATCCGATAGTACTATACCATGTCTTGTGAAGAAGCGCTCCTTCGTAAAATAATTTCTTTTATCTATGACTTTGTTTACTGATTTTATTATCATCAGTTTTGCAGAAATGAGGAAAGGTGTGTATTTTTAGAGCAATCTGACCTATTTATCTGGTTTATTCATCAAAAATGTTTGGGATAAGGGTATAACAGAAGCTCTTTTTTTCTTACAGATAACGGGATGTTTTATAGTGTTTATTTAAGGGAAAACAATGTTTTCGATGTAATAAACTTTGTGTTTTTTACCGATAATACAAGTATCTTCGGACTGTTTATTTGGCAAAAACTTAGGTTTTTGATGAATGACATAAGCCTTGTTATTACCCGATAACATTCTCTGTATTTTAATCTAACAGAACCGCGTTGCCTTATTTTGACGGAAAATTTCCGGATATTTTCTGTAATATTACAAACATATGTTTACAGTGGGGGTATCATAGATCGCAAATCAATTAGAAGTTTGATATTTCCTTGAAAACTTGTTATTCCACGGAATGTGTCAGAAAGTTGGCCATGCATGCGAGCATGAACGTTTATGTTGAACGAAATGGGTTTCACGTGTCCTCTGGCCTCCCCTGTCAGGCCGACTGGTGCTGAAACTAAAAATTTCAGTCATCTGTAGTCTCCCCCCACAAAGCCCTCCACTTTAACAGAGTAAACACTGAAAAGGAGGCTAGTCCCTCATTTCCTCTCCAGCGTTCGCTCTGCTAGAGTGGATAGAGTGGAGGGCTTTGAGGTATGAGCTTGTCTTGCACTCCTAATCTATTGTTTCAAGAACACACAAAAAAAAAAAACGAAGCTTTAACGTACAAGCAGTTTTTCGACGACGCTGGAAGGTCTGATGACAGCCAGTGAAGAGTGGCTAAACTTCCTGAAAGGCGCCAAGCCCGCGAAAGCCTTCACCTGCATAAAACAAACAATACGAGCCCTGGGAAGAGTCGTTTGAGGATATTTCGGATACCGCTTACGCCGCAATATCTACTATAAAAAGAAAAAAAAAAACCTACATTTTTTTTTCTCGGCTACGCCATTGTGAAGCACCATAATGTTGAAGAGGGCGCGAGACGCGTATTCATAAAAGTTTGTCAAGTAACTCAACTGGCCGGTTTCGGCATTCTGGTTGGCTCATTCTTGTGGATGTCACATCGCTCGGTATACGCGGGTAGAGAGAAAGAGAATAGGGCGGACAAGGGTTTAGGTGTACACACGCCTTAGGGATTCACGCGCTAGCCTTTAGCCGATTACGAGACAGTACATCCATCGTGCCATTACATCCACCGAACGATTACATTCATCGATGGATGTAATGGCACGATGGATGTACTGGCTCGTTAGACGTGTTGACCTGTGTGTGGATGTAGCTGCTCGTTGGATGTAATTGCTCAATGAACGTAGTTGCCCGGTAGATGTAATTGCTCCTCCTTCCCGTTATGGCGCCTAGCGTGTCGTTACATCCATAGAGCTAGTACATCCATAGAAGCCAAGATGACAGCCATGGGGCGTTTTTTGTTATTCACATTCTTATAGGTTCGGGAGCCCCAGGGAACAGACGGTAAGCCCCAAAACGTGAGTGTGTCACTATTAAATTTTATAAGGCATTTAGATTATTTGTTTTGTTCTCAAAGTGAAATAAAAAGTATGCTTATGTGTACCGTTCTTATTCTATATTAAAATTGTTTATATTTAGTTCATTATCAGAGCGAAAAAAGTAGAAACTAAGGTTTGATCAGTGTGGCAACAACAAACGAGTCGACGATGCGCGTTCGACTTTGGAGACGCGCCGAGGGCAGCAGAAAGTTCATGACACACAAAGGGTCCTTTTACTCGCTTTTGTACATCTAATCTAGCGTATAACTCTACAAAATAGTGTAAACTATAAAAAAACATTAATGTCATGTGTGTTGCTTCATTTACTCAGGTCAAGTTTAGCATGAGATGACTGACAGACTAAGCGGAGTTCGCTCTTTGACATTTCTCTCTGCTTGCACATTATGGTGAAATCGCGTCGCGAGTGCCATTTCACCTTACGTACCGATAGCAGAAAAACCTTCTGGTCTTGAGTAGAAAAAACTTCAAACATATTCATGATTATCAAGCTTTCCCGGGTTAAGCCTCTACCGCTCTCCACACCAGCATTTCTCGCCACCATTTTTGCTAATGAATTATCCGGAAAAAGTATCTCTTCAAAGGCACCAAAAGAATATGATGCTCAATAAAATTGACTAAAATGTATATAGCATACTCTAGTGTTTTATACTTATAGATAGCTGTAGATGAAAACAAAACCGGTCGAAAAGCAAAACAAATCGGTCGAAAAACAATCCGAGGAGGAACTGTCTACGTTCGATGAAACGGCGTTCGATGATATGACAATCGATAAAACGGCACTCAATAAAATATCGATGAAATTATACAGCAAAGTTAAACGACTAAATAAACCTGTGTGATTGATGGATGTAATGGCGCGCTTTTGTACGAAGCTGCTCGATGAATGTGCTGGCCCTAAGGATGTACTGGCACGATGGGTGTAATAACACAAAATTGGACGTAATTGCTCGGTGGATGTAATGGCACGATAATTGTGTACCTAAAGCCCCTTTGGCCGGCTCCCAGATTTGCTTACGTGATTGTGACTTGCAATTTAGATTACTAGTTCAGATGCGTCTATTAATCTGTTGAAACAATTTTTGGGGAAATCAGTGACTACCGAAATTTCACCGGACTGTCAAACCATTCTTGAGGTAAAGGTCCCATGCTTTCGGGACGCTTAGGAAGGGCGAGGCATAGATGCGGACATCGGCTGTCCCTTTAGCCGCTCCTGATGGGCCCATATCGCTGGCGATGCCTTAATGTGCACAAAGAACCAGCAAAGCGTTACCTGTAAGGTCAGTACTTTTTTTTTTTTCGAAGTTATTTTGCAGGAAAACATTAAAATCGCGAGTCCTTGCGGTCAGAAGCGACGTTGCCAGCGCTCAGGATATGCCAGGTTCTGCCTCCGTCTCTACACCCCTTTTCCAAACCAGATCCATTTGCTGCAGTTACACTGTACCTGGACACATGAGCGAGAGAGGGTGGTGAGCCCACTAACCCCTTCTAGACCACTGTATACTGCACTCACAGCACCTCCTGTACCGGAAGTGGGGTTTTTCCTCCACTTCACACCAGAGCTGGCAGTAATGTAATTACTGTAATGAAATTACAGTAATTTAATTACTTGTTCCAGTAATTAGTAATGTAATTCATTACTTTTTGTAGCAGGTAATTTAGTAATGTAATGAATTACTCCAGCGACGGTAATTGTAATTAAATTACCTAATTACTTTTTCGCACCAGCCATATTTTTTTGTTTCCACAATACACAAGAGCGCTTTTCTTTTTATTTTACTTTTTCTTTTCCCTCTACACCTCTCCAAAAAACGCTCTTCGGCCGCCGCTACGTTGCTGATGCTCATGCGGCTGGTGCGACTCTCGCGCCCGCCATCAGCTAGACATTTTCTGCCACTCTCTTGAACTGTGAAAACCCGCTCAGCGCGATTCTCTACCTATGTTTTGCGGTTTTGCATTCGACGTTTTCTGGCCCCTCTTAAAAGTGTCCGCTTACTTTTTCTGATGCATGCTGCGTACCCTCTCTGTGTTATCTTCCACTGTGAGAAATAGGGCTGGTAAGTGCCTGCCATTCGAGCTTTTCTGTTCGACATTCTCGGGAAACGAAGGAGGGGAAGTAGGTCGAACTAAGGCCCCTGGTAGAACGGCCCTCGACGCGATTTTGCGAACAATGATAATTGTTCTCCCCCCACCCAGAGATAATCTGCATAGGGCCTCAGTCATCTCCAAAAATAGTTGTCCGCGTTGGGGTGGGAAACGGATCAGTCGCGTGCGTTCCTCTGTCCATCGGTAAACATGCAACAGAGAGTTCTAGCTGTGTGCCATGAACTGTGTAAATAATGTAAATAAAGTTATCTGTAAAAGGAAGTTATCAATAGCTCCTTTATATTATAAATTATACAAAAGTAATGCGAAAGTAATGCCATTACTTTTAAAAGTAATTTGTAATGGTAATTAATTACTTTCTGGCTGTGGTAATTTGTAATGTAATTTAATTACATTTCAGCAATTTTCAGCAAAGTAATTAGTAATGTAATTTAATTACAAAATATGAGTAATTTGGCCGGCTCTGCTTCACACCCGGATTGTCACTTTCTTTTTTTTTAGGCAGGTTAAGCACGTTCTTATCACGTCTGTCCGGACAGTCGTGACGACAACACGCTCTGCTGGTGGTCGTGAAGCCCTTCGCTGTTGTTCTCATTCCCCAATCTCCCGAAAACTAGAAAGGGGAAGAAACCGCAGTGAGGAGGCGAAGAGAAAAGCCGTGCTGCTTTTTTGTTGTTGTTTTCTTGTGCGCGGAATTTGTAGTGTCTTGTTTCTACAGTCCTTTGCCTCGCGAGCTTTTCCGAATCCGCCGACGGGATCCGCCGCCGAGTTGGCCAATCTCTCGAGCGTCGTACCTTGGCGTCGTACTCGGGTCTTTGCGACACCATGACGAAGAACATGAGGCTCCCCTGGGAGAAGCCGACGTAGAGCAGACAGTCGCGTCGCGTCTTGTCCAAGACGCGATCGATCTGCGCAGGCGCGTCGTACACTCCGTGCTCGTGGAACCTGCGGTGGCCCCCCGCCCCAACGTGGATAAATCACAAGTTACCACGCGTCAAAGGCCGGACTGGCCGGTGTTTTAATTTTCCACGCGTGAGATGAGGTTATCGTCCGGAAGGTCTTTCGGCACCCAACATGTTCACCACGGGTAGTCTAAAACCGCCGTCAGACTGCTCGTACGTCATACAAAAGACGGTCGCTGCGCACATGATGACAAAACTGCCTGCGGACGTGCCTCGAGCATCTTCGAAACGTCTTTGCTTCATACGTATCTCCAAGGTGTCTGCAGACAGTTTTTGTGTGGCCAGTGTGACAGGATCCGCCTGACAAGGAACGAACACGCCTCAGTTTGGTGACTGCCTTTTGTAAGCTGTATTAACAGCGCGACTGGCACTTAACAAAACGCATAATGACTCTCAAATAAACACGAATCGAGCTTCTCTTTTTATTGTTAAAATTCGAATTTATAGGTGAAAGGAGGCAAGCCGCTACCCAGTTCTCTCAAACTAAAAAAAAAATAACGTATGCTTGTTTTTGTAATTGCACACATTTGTTTAAGTAGAACGCCCGTCTGACAATGTTGGGCGACTTACTGAAGAGCTGCCCGGAGTTCGAAAGTTCCCAGAAAAAAAAAAAATTAACTGATGTGGTATTCTGAATTCAAAGCATATCTAAAACGATATTATGACATATGACTTTGAATATCTGTCATCACGTTATTGTGTCTTCCTGAAAGAAAGGCCGTGGATAGTACTTCAAGTACAATGCGCTTAAGGTACTTCCCAACACTAGGAAAAAAGTAACCATCAATTACCTCGATTGACCAGATTTCTAATCTACGCGTGACACTGTCCCCTTTTAAAAGGTTAAAAAGCGCGAACTGAGACATGTAGTATACGTTTACAAGGACAGGCGCCTGTCCTTGTCGTACGTGTTTCTATACTTTTTGTCCGTGGTTCAGTTCGCGCTTTTTAACATTTTAAATAATATAAACCAATTAAACCCAACCAAAGTTTTATTGAAACTTTCCCTTTATATACGTAGCTCACCAATTTATTTTTATTGAAACTTGTAGTTTCTCCATATCAGAAATCAAGAATTTGCCGAGGAAGACAACTCACGAGAAGTTCCAGAAGCTCTTAGACTTTGGCGTCATGTTGACGTGCAGCTTCCCGAAGGTGCCTCCCCTCGTGTTCCCCATCCACACGTCGTAGCCGTTGTCGGCCAGAACAAAGCCTGCGGACAAGGAAGAGCAGTCGGTGTCGTTCTGACACAAAAGCAGACCCCCGAGCTGACCATTCCGGGTAGGTTTAACTGCACACGAAGAAGCTTTTACTGAACAAAAAGCGGCTTATGAAGCTTTCATCTGGCGCTCGTATTAAAGACTCCCGGTTACTTTGCCCCCGGGGAGAAAAGTTTCGATCGTTCGATTTTGGCTTAGCGCGACAAAGGGACGAACTTTTTTATCTTAAACAAAAAGAAAAACCACTCAAACTCAGTTATCGAAAGGGCACAACTTAAAACGCAGGGGAAGTATCGCGGTCTTTTCGCCCATGGTGGATTTGCGGATGCTGTGGAGCATGTCGGAAATTCCTGCCGCAAATAACCTCTGCTCCTTGCACTTTAGCAAAGCGAACGTTCAAGTGGCTGCAGTGGCACTACTGTCGGCACGGCCCATGTGCAGGCGCTTCGCTTCACCGGAATCTCACTTCTGTGCATGCGCAGCGCCCACACCGAATCGGGCGAACGCGGACTTGTTATGCCCGAGTCCCACTAGAGCGACAAACAGAAACAACCGACACCGACAAGCCTCGAACACGAGCGGCATGCACGCTTCTTTTTCATGCGGCCTGTTTCGTAACAGGACAAAGAACACGTATCTGTCCGTGTGGGGGCGCTGCGAGGCGAACCAACTCAAACCAACTTATTGTGCCTTCATACAAACACGCGCTTTTGCTTGAGTGCTGACATCTCAGCCATATTTCCGCCCAAATGTGTTTTTTAATGTATTTTGAAGTGCAAATCAACCGGTGCGACTTAACTCGAGCGCGACTCAGCTCGAGAATGGTGCCTAATGCTTAGACGCCATTCTACCGCAAAAGTGCGCCATTGCGTCACAGGCTGGCCCACTCAATGCAACAAAAGATGTCTTCACCCAGAGACAGACATGTAGGCCACAATAACCAGACTATTCTCGCTGTTCCCTCCTGCTCCTCAACGGGTTCTTCTTCGCGTGGCTCAATGGTTCACTGTTGTGTCTGGCACTGCAAGTCGGCATCGGAAAAGACTCCTGACGTGCCTATCGTTCCCAGCGATGGATCGCTATATAAGCACCGCGGGAAAGACGAGGATATTAGGTGAGAGAGAGAGAATAAATATTATTTATTGTGCCATGACCTGGTCTCTTCTCCACTTTTCTCCGAGCACGTCCTTGACGTGTCGGGTGAGGAGTGGCCATAGGGTTGGCTAGGGGAGCCCGGCGCGGAGGCCCATTCCTCCCAGCTTCTAGGGACAGAATTGGGGAGGGACAGGCACGAATATTCTGGAGATGGAAGCCTGCACAGTGGGGCATGTCCGTAGTGTGTGAGAGTTGTTGTGGTAGCCCGATCAGTGTTGGCATTCGTGGGCACCCGTGCGACCTCAAATATAATGTTGGAAGTGTGGGTGTAAGATACCAAGGGAGAGCCTTATTGTGCGCGATAAATCTACATCTATGTTTGTGGGCAGCAGGCACTTTAAACCTGGGAATTATATGTACCGCATAAAGAAGCTAGTCCGTGGAGCCGCGCTCATGGTCTTCAACAAGTCTTCGAAAGACCTAAGCCCGAGGAGAAATCGTTTTGAAGCAGTCGGCATCTGCGCCGAAAAGCAGAAAGCGAAACGCAGATGTTTTGCCTCCTGAAGAGGATTGTGAAGAGACCATGCAAGATTAACCGAAAGCAGCTCAAGCACGCGCTTGAGCTGCGCAGTGAAGATTGACTCAGTGCGACTGCAACGGCAACGGCTTGTGACGTTAATCCTTTTACGCGTTGTTATGGCAACAGCTGCATCGGCTCCAACAAAACGGCTGTTGCCACAGCAACCCGTAAAAGGATTAACGTCCCAAGCCTTTGCAGTCGCGCTCGGTCGGACTCAACGCAAGCGTGTGAATCGCCCTTAATAAGACAGTCAGCGCGTATAGTCCGGCCACGGCCTGCCATAGGTACCATACCGTGCATGCTGCTGGTGCTTGGGTTTTGTCGGTGTCGGTTGTTTCTCTTTGTCACTCTATAGTGACACTCACGCCTTGGTAAACAGCGTTTGCAAACATTGAAAACAAAACTTTTCCTTTGGAACCCCCCCCCCCCCCCCCCCCCCTAGGCACGCCATAGCGGTACAACTCGCTGACAAATACGATGGGTTGTCGTCGGATGGTGACACTGAAGCGTCACAAGGACAGCCAAGAATCTGTCTTGTCAAGTCTGCAAAAGATGTTGGTTGAATGCTTGCTAAATGTGACTAAAGACGCAACAATGAAGATAGCGTACACCGCTATCATCATGCCTTCGTATAGAGTCGTAACTGACAGACCTAAAGACTGTCCTGGAAAGTCCAGGACCAGCGTCGTGGAGTCCATGCCGAGACCGGCCATCACGAACACGGGCTCCCGGTGGCAGGTGTCCCCGTGACAGGGGAGCCTACCCCGAGGTATCCGGTGCATCTCCAGCACAAATCCGTCGTCCGTCAGCACTCGATGACGTTCGAAAGGGTACCCCTTACTCACTACCAAGTACTCCTGCGAGGAAAAAGTTGCTGCGTTAAAGTTTTGCGATTCGAGTCATCTGATATCGCGTTTGCAAATTTACTCTCTCGTCATTGACCGCCATTAGCCACGGTCACACTCTTGTCTGCGCAGACGCTGTTTCTTCATGGTACAACAGTCACATTGGTCATGCAAATACTGTCTGCACACATGTTCGGAGCACACCAATGTGTGGAGCAAACGTGCTTTGAACACTCATAAGAAACGCAGGGCGGGGCGAGCCCTCTGCATCTCATTATCGCTCTTCAGCCAATGACATTGCGGCATTATCGTCAAGAGCACCGACCAACCAATCACGAGGCAGGACGCGTGGCTCATGGCTGGTTCATACTCGGACCGAAGTGTGACTTGCGCCCTAACTTTTCACGTTTCGTCGTTTGTCAGCCTTTACGTTCGCGCATCGCACGAGTGGCATTGTCCTGGCCACGTGTACCACAATCAACACAGAATATTCGAAACTTCACATGCATGCGGTCGCTTGCGTAGGTAAACAATGACTTTTGTCAAGAACAACTACGATCGTATAAAGTCACGTGGAAAAAACTCGCTGTCAGCACGCGACCCTTGGCATGCAGTGGATGCTTATAATCTGCGCAGTGATGATTGGCAGCTGTCAGAAGGTGGAGTTTTTTTTAACAACCCAGTGTTAGAATCAGGAGGTAGCTCACGCCAGGTCTGAAGGTACTATCACTCTAAAAAAAAGTCTGTGCATCTACTTTCACGCAGACCACTCGGAGAGCCAATCACCGCAACTTACGGAGGCAACTCAGGGAATGACGATGCCGAAACTTATGTTTAGACCAAAAAACGCAGTCTGAGTTGTGACATCAAGCAATGCAAGCGTGACGTTTTGCATTGCTTAATGTCACCACTCAGACTGCGTTTTTTGGTCTAAACATTAGTTTCCGCATCGTCATTCGCTGAGCTGCCTCCGTAAGTTGCGGTGATTGGCAGTGGCGTACCAACTTGTTTTTGAGTGAAGGGGCAAACCAGACTTCCCCCCCCCTCCCCCACCCTTGGGTCGCATATTTTTACAAGTGATGGGCCGAACTTTTGCCGAATCGAAAATTCGGCGCAACTTCTGCCGAACTTTTCTAAAGATTTGGCAATGATTTGGCAAAAATAAACTGTTACCAGACTTAACATTGATGTTTTTTTTTTCTGACGAAAAACGTTCTTTTTTTTTTTTTTAAACATAAATACAACATGTAGTGCCTATTGACGCAGTATTGTCTAAATAAGGTGATATTCTACAAGATAATTCTATCGATGTCGCTTTGTGTGTTCACTGGCAATTTTAGTGTTTGCTCGCAGAAAGTGGCGTGACAACGAATCAAAAAACGAGAGTTTTGATTTTGAGGCTTCATCAGCGCACGCCTGCAAGTTTGATTACATTGTTAAAATAAAGGCAATCACTGCTTCTTACTTTCTCTGGGAGTCACTGTTTGATGCGCGAAAGCGAATGCAACGGTTGCTGAGCCTTCACGGGAAGAAATAACAATATTGTAAATATGCATGTTTTTCGATTTGAGTCACTTGGCGTCAGCTTTGCATGAAAGTGCGCGTTGCATATTCGCAACGTGCCGTTTTTAACCTTTAAAATTCCGGTTTCTGGTGTTAGGTCACACACGGACGTTTAGGAAGATGGGGAGATTAAGGAATGTCGGATGTGCAACGTCGAGCCTGATAGTTCTGTGTTCTCTTTTATGCAGGTACATGAAAATCACGAAATAACGCGAACTAAAAAGCAATGTTATTCTAATAGTAATAATAATAATAATAATAATTTTACTTGCATATACTAGAAATGCCCATGTGGTGGTGTGCGGGGCTAGGCAGATAGATGAAAACCCTTACGCAGAGCGCCTTTCAGCCAGACTTGTACGTAGTTCAACTACTTTACTCACGTTACTGTACTTTAACTACTTTACTGGTTAGTTTCGTAACTTTCAGTTACATTCTTAATTCGGTAATTAGTAGTGTCCTTTAACTACTTTTCCGAGTGACTTCTACTCAAATTACAAATTACTTTCGAATTTTAGTGGTTGTTTTGCCTATCAACAGAGATAGGATGTTAGAAGATCAGCTGATATTTACAGAGGGGGAAGCATTTGGCGTAGAAAAGGGGGGGGGGGGGGGGGGGGGGGGGGGGGTGGGAGAGAAAGAAAGCAATTTGGATACTCTAAACCCCCAAAATTTCAACCAGCCCCCACTGCAACAACACTGCTGGCGCGGGGAGAGGACAGACAAAACGCAAGAGAGGCTGAGTAACTGTGGGATTAGCGCCGAAGACTAGCGTTTCTTTGTACCCCGAAGCTCAAGGAGACTCGACGCATTTGAAGAAAGGGCTTGTCCCCGCTTCTCCCCAATGTAGGAATTCTTGCCCACTTTAGGAGGTGCGCACACTGCATCCTCACTCAAAGGAGGTAACGAAGTGCAGCACCCGCTCTGAAGTTCATCTGGCAATTACTCTATGGCGTATATTAATTGCCGCAATTAAAAAAAAAAAAAAAAATCTGATGCATTTCCGATTTTGTCGTTTTTTCCCGAAAAAAGCTCATGCACCTCCTATTTCCCCTAAAGCTATGCATACCAATCTGTTAGGAACAAAAAAAAAAAAAAAAAACGCTGTATAGGGAATGAAAGGAAATTCTGAAAGAGTGCTATAAAAAGTACTTCTACTTTACTTTGGAAGTACATTGTATTTATAGTAATTCACTTCAAGTACATTGCACCCCTTGTACTTCCTACTTTACTTGAAGTACATAATCTCTCATTAACTTTGTACTTCCAAGTAGTTTTTAGACGTACTTTACGCAACACTCTAAGGAATCAAACACTGTCCGCAAAATCAAGCTCAGGCAGGGCTAAACCCTCAAAGGTGGAATGATACATTCCCAGTACATCCTTGACCGAAAAGAAGTACACAACAATTAGGCATGCAAAAGCAGAACCAGCTTATTAAAGCGTATCTGTAAAACACACGCCGCTTTATATTCGGCTAACAGAATTTCGCTAACTCATCAAAACCTATGTAAGTACTTCCTTGTTAGCAAGAAAAAAAAATAACAGCAACTTCTAAAGTAATTTGCTCCTCTTTTACGGTAATTAGTAATTCACTGAATTACTTTCCATTTTAGTAATTTCTATTCTACTCAAATTACTTTTGAGGCGAATACTCAGAAACTTAACTTAATTATTTTTTTTTTTTTGAGTAGCG